CTCAGATCTTTGCGATTCACAGCTCCGAGTGGCACTGCAACTGTTATTGACAGGCGTGTAGCTTACCATCAGGCGCATGACTTGTTCGTCCCGTCACTTGATAGTATAAAAAAAATCATACAATATTTAGAAGCGCAATTGCAGCGCCACTCTTGCAGTCACAATTAGTGAACTAAAAATTACTGAAGCGCTACAGACGCGCGGTTGCTATGACACAGTCGCGCCACTGCAGGGCTTAATTTAAAGGCGCCCTAAACACCAGTCAGGTCGCGTTTTTTAATCTACGGAGTTAAACGTTGAGTAAGATTTGATTCCAGTATACACGTGTCACTTTCATTGGATCGTGTCGCGAATTAGAAATATGATTCCGCCTTTAAGCGTGGTGTGTAATTACCAGAGCTCGAAATAGTCACAGTGAACTTTCCGAAATTTCATGGAAATAATATCCACCTGTTTCGTTCTCTGGTAATTACATAACAATTGTTATATAAGCATAAGTAGATTAAGTGGTTATTAAAATCTGTATTGATTTTAAATATCGTAATTTTGTACATATTGTATTATTTTATAAATTGCATATAAAGACGTAAGTACCTATATGACACTTTTTTATTGCTTTCCCTCTCATGCTTCATTAATTAATTTATTTCTGAAATAAAAAATTATGGACCTAAAGGTGCCTTCATATTAGACGCTTAAGGAAGTGCAGCAGTTGCGCCAATGTGGCTGTGCAGCCGCACCACTACTAATTTTAATACAATATGTATGTAGAAGCGCAGTTGCAGTTAACAGTTGTCGTGACACGTGCACGCCACTTTTGCAGTCACAATTTAAGGCGAGTCACTGGAAGAGAAGCGTGAGAAACTGTTTTCATAGATCAAAATAGTTCAGGTGCTTACTATTAAAAAAATACACGATACATCTAAGGATATTGTCTAAATAATGTGCTAATTTATTACAATATAGGATGTACTTTCTCCGATCATATAAAATGCTGAGAAAAGGCCAAAATAAAAGTGTAAAAAGAATTATTTGAGAATAAAATTTCTGAAGAAAGATGGCGACATCCTGTGTATTTTGTGACACAGTGTTTTTGACGAAGTGCGTTAAAGATACCTATACTTCAGATTCATTATCAAAGCGTCAAAAAAGCTAATTGAGTACAGCCTGTAGAAGCTGGGGTTATAAAATTGATACATTGTACTGTATTTCGCTTAAGATGTCTGTTCGTAGTAGCAGAAAACAAGTTTTCAGTTTGTTCCCAAAAATAATAAGGAACTTGCCGAATATTCCTAATTCTGCCAAACTCTGCCACATTTAATGTAACTTAGCACAAATGAATAAAAATTAAATCTGCTACAAATGGTCACACTGTTCTCAATATCAATGTGACAATGACACTGGTAAGAAGTTTCTAAGCGCACGTACAAGAACGTTACCTAATCTATGGTCGAAGACAATGAATTGCGTTATGTTCTTGCATCTATTCTGAAATACAATGTTTTATATTTTTTTTTATTCCCGACTTCTAAAACTATACAAAACTATGTTGAGAACTAGGCCTAAATTAAAACGCAAAATTATACTAGGAAAGTCCATGAACATTCGTCATTATTGGGGCAGCTTTCGCCATCTTTCTATGTGCATTATTTTTATATGAAAATATTTCTCAATAAGAATGTACTATAGACAATCTGCAAAATTTTGGTTTTCAAGTGAAGCCCTATTAGTTACTAAACTCACATTTCACACATTTAGTAGCAGTAGAGTACTTATTGTGTTCCGGTTGAGAAGGATAAGGGTGCTGGTGAAATTACATGAAGCTTGTCGTCTCAAGGTGACAGTCGCAGTGGCGGTGCCCCCAGATCTTTATGATTTGAAGCTCTGAAGAACACTGTAACTGCAATGTGACGTACTACCAAGGGCATGACGATTAAGATAAATTTCCTTGACGATTAAGAAGAAAGAGAATTTTATTCATTTTAAACTGTACTACACTACTACTGTACTGTACTAAAATTACAAATTAAAATTAATATAGTAATTGGGTACCACTCACCACACACACACACACACACACACAAAACACACACACACACACACCACATACACCACACACACCACACACCACACACATACCACACACAAACACACACACACACACACACACACACAAACACACACACACACACACACCCGCGCACGCACACACCCGCGCACGCACACACCCGCGCACGCACACACCCGCGCACACGCGCACACCCGCGTTTGCGCAAACCCGCGCGCGCGCGCACACACACGCGCGCGGACGCATCCGCACACGCACACGCACACGCACACGCACACGCACACGCACACGCAC